AGTGGCAGGTTGGAGCTCTATGTTTCTCTATGTCTGTGAACTTATATAAACATTCTAAATAAGACAGAAGAAGACATTAATAAGTAAACAACGATGAGGAGGATCTGAGAAGGAATGAAATGGCTGGTAATATTCATGTTAGAGAACTGAAATATTTGAGGAGGGCTGATGGTTTGCAGAACCTTGAGCATTCCCTTTTGAGCTGCAGCTGTGGTGGGACAGTCCTCTGCTGCTTCTGGGTTCAGCTTGCAGAGCAGACAGTGGTGGAGGAACAGCAGCGTGTGGTTGCATTCCCCTTTCTGTGCCAGCATCTGCTTTGCCAATACAAGCTTCAGGTGGGCAGAGCTTTCCTCACCTTAACAAATAGAGACCTATCTCTCACCCTGTGTTACTTAGAGCTTTGTGACTGCTTTTCGAGAGCTGGTCTCTACCTCCCCTGGGGTTGAAGGATGCTCTCCAGAGAGAGGTATCCATGCTAGTTTGGCTTCTGCTTGGATCCACGGGGTGTTGACAGAGAAGGGGGATTTCCGTCAGCCCACAGCCTGCCAGAGCTGCTCAACATCCCATGAATGCATGTCCCTTTTTTTTTTTTTTTTGTGATGTACAGTGGTTTCTCCACAGCCCTGTCTACCCCCAGATGAACTGTGTCTGCCTACCAGTTGGGCAGCAGAGTAGCAGGGCAGTGAGGACTTGGCTGCTTGATAGCATGACTGCCTACAAACCTTAGGAGAAACAATTAGGGCAAGGGCATGAATGTCTTTTTTTTGTGGGGAAGGAAGTGTAAAGGTTGTGACATGTGAGGGGGCTGACCTGGAGGCCCACGGGGTGGACTGAGATTGAGTGAGGAAAGGGGAGCTGGAGATGGGGGATGGTGGTGGTGGCTGGGCTGGGCACCTGGGGGGAGCAGGACTGCTTCATTGAGTACATTGTGCAAAGAACAGGAGAGCCTCTCCACTCCGATGGGCAGTGTCTCTGTGAATCGTCGTCAAAGCAGATGAAATTTCACACCACACAAATTTTTGAATTTAAAAGGGGAGGGAGGTAGCTAGAGAAACAGGAGAGGAGGAGGGGGAGGGAGAAGACGCAGCCTGGCCAGGCGCCAGCACCTCTTGCTAACGCCATGGGGAAGGTGGCATCCTTCCCCGGTGTTCCCTCCGGCCCCCGCGCTCCCTGCTCCCTTTCACTTGGGTTGCATCTCCTGGAGGCAGCGCGCTCTGTCTAGAGCTGTTTACAGGGTGATGGTTTGTTCTCTGTCTCCTCATCTTCTTTCTCACAGAGTCAGTATCCATGCCTCCTCTGCTTCCCGTCTTTTAACCTCCCATTCTTCTCCTTCCCCAGGCTGCCTTACCCCTTGCTTCCCCTGTTCCCTCTCCTCTGTTCCCTTACCCCGATGGCTTCCTGTCCTGTCGCTCCACTCCTGCTTCCTCCATCAGTCCTCATGCCATCATCACCCTTTGAGCTTCTCCTAATTTTTCCATCTCTTTCCTTTCACTTTTATTGTCTGTTAAACCTTAGACACCCAGGAGATCCTTAGGGTCATTGCCCCAATCTGTCTCTCCATCCAGTCCTACCCACACTGTCTTCTCATGTGCCAAGCGAGCACATCTTTTCACACAACAGATCAGAGCATATTAAGACAATACATTTATATCCATCAAAGCATGAGGCAGAGGTTGGTCCTGTGGTCTCCTGGACCAGAGATGGCATGTGCTGTGACCCCACATTGTTACAGGAGTGCTTGAGTTTTGCTCCCATTCCCCTTTGGCTGTGAGAGGAGAGGGGAGCCTCTCATTCCTTTATGAGTCCCACCTGCCCGTAGTACACAGCCACCAAAGGAGTTAGTGAAATCTCTTGTTGGCCTCTAGGACCAACTGAATGTTGAGTCAGTCACATAGGACACAGGGCATTTCACCAACAGTGGCAGCTGCTGTGTAAAGCAGTGACAGGGTTGTGATGCTGTGGGTCAACCATCGGCTTCAAGCAGGGTGTGGCAAAGGGAAGTTAGTGTCCAGGATGCTTTATGAGATCTTGAAGTCTAAAGAATTAAACACCCCCTTCCTTTCTGAGATACCACTTGCTTTATCCCATTTAGAACTGGTTTATCAGGGTTTAGGATGCCCGGAAGCAGGACCTGAGCTGAACCTGGTGCCCCAGGCCAGCTGCCCCTTGTTATCTTGTCATGCCCCACATCCAGGTGGTCCTGTGGTGCTGGTGGTCCTGGGCTTGTCAGGCAGGGCTCCCCATGGGTACGGCACCGCAGGTGAAATGCTCTGGATGAGCAGACGGCTACAGCCCAGGACAGCTGCGTGTGGCTGTGCTACCTCTGCGCTGAGCAGTGTTACGTGAGCGGGATTTTGGGACCTGCAACCAACTGGGGTATCTCTGGAGATGCTGAACTATACGGTGTGGACACACCTGCCCTTTAAGTGGAAGGAAAAAGAAATTACCTGGCTTTTGAGGACAGATGACCTCTTAATCTTGTTTTTCTCCTTTGTCTCACCTGTCCAGAGGTTCTCTTTTTTTTTTTTCTTTTTTTTTTTTTCTTTTTTGAATCAACGGGGCTAAATTCTGCCGTGATATAAATCTCTGCTGATATAAATCGGTGTGATCTTGCAAAAATCATTGGAGTGGCTCTGGATTTATGCTGGCCGTTAGTGTGAGCAGGATTTGGCGCATGGAGTGTGGTAGCCATAGCTCACTGTGTCGTGCTCTGCATTTCCAAACAGCACTGCAGGTGATAAGCAAATCCTGTTGAGAGGTGAGAGGGTCCCTCTCAAACAAGAAAAAGCTTCCCCTGGATGTCCTTTGTGCGGCCAAGTTAGCCAGCCAGGCTGCGATTTTGGCATGGATGCTGTGGAAAGGTTTTAGCCCACAGGGTCCCACAAATGAGGGGGAAAAAATTTATTTAATACATTTTTGCATTTCACACTTTAGAGAAAACAGGAAAACGCATTTGTAACTGCTGTTTCCCATGGGTGCTGTATAATATATACAGTATATGCTGTGTGCAGCATAGGGGGATGAGTCATACCCATGCATGACTCTGGTCTCAGCGCCTGGCCAGGATGGACTCTGCATCTGCCACTTCGGGCTTTCCTGGCAAGGTGCACCTCCCCCCCAGGTGTGCTTAGGATCTGCTCCTCCACCGGGTCTCCTGTGCCCATCTACCCTGGTCCAGGAGGATTAGGGTGGGAGAGGCATTGCATTTCCAGCAGCCCTCCTAGAGATGCCAAACTGGGAGGCTGTAAAGTGATCCATGCAATCCCAAAGCCACAGTGATAATTTTTAAGTGGCTCCTGTCCTGTTATCCTTCTCCCCCTCTGAGCTTTCTCCTCCACCCCAACCGCATTACAGATAAAAGGGTTAAGAGCTCACTTGGGCCCCCTGTTCGGAGAGAGGACAGTTGCAATGTTGTATCTAGACCCAGTGAGGATATATATAAATTCCCTCCGTCTCTTCGGATCTATTTATAGCACGGCAGGCAGTGGCAAAGGCTCTCCTCAAGGCTTCATCTCCTACAAACAGTCTTCACAGACAGCAGAGAGATAAATTTAGCACACGAGATTTCTTAAAGAGCCAGCAGCTCTGCGGGGCTGCTTGCCTGCCCTACTACAGCCCCTGCCCCGATACTCCCACTGGGGCAGCCCTCTCCCACAGGTGCTCGTGCCCCTGCCTTCTCCCCCCACTTCCTAATTTTCTGTCTGGCTTCACCCATTCTCTCCCCCCTTCTGCTCTCTTTTTCTGTCATTGATGTTTTTGGGTTTTTTTTCCCTTCTTTCTTGCTGGTTCGCCATCTCATCCTCTCTGCTTTCTTGTTTTTCTTTTTTTTCTTCTTTTTTCTCTCTCCCAGGCCACAGGGCTCAGAGAATAAAGCCTTCTCGTTAGCAGTTCACTGGTTATGCCTACATAGTAAAAAATGTGTAGCTTGATTAATGCCTTCCAGATGGTTAATTGAAAAAGAGAGGGGGGGGGAAATGCACCAATGTCTCCCCACTCTTCAGCACTCCATACACATACATTGCACAGGAAGAAAACTGCATTGAAGGGTGAGGGGAGCAATATATTTGAGAAATAGGGGCAGCCTGTTAACTCCAGTGCAGTGCTGCCAGGATGTTGATTTGCTCCATCCCTCCTTTACGCCTGTTTCCCTCATCTATCCTACTCCAAAATTCCCCATCCCGGAGCGTGATGTTCCTTTGTGTACAACAGGTAACACACACAAGCTCTCCTTGTGCCCTCACTGCAGGCACCGCGCTGCTTTGCACCCACCCTACGGTCTGATACCCTCAAAGCCACACCAGCTGTCATTGCCTCCCCATATTTATTTTTTGGAGGGATGCACACACCCCGCCATGCGTCTTTCATGAATTTTGATCATACAACCAGTGTTCCCAGAGCCATGAGCCCACAGGAGTGGAAGGGCCCTCTTGGTGGGGTCTGAGCTTTTGGATTTGCCAGTGCCAAAGTGGGTGCGATGGAGCGGGTGGGGCTGCAAGTAGGGTCATTGGGGCAACTCAGGAGGAAAGAGAGGTGGTAATGTGGTCACCTATTCTTCTCCATAGGTCATTGCTGGGCAATTTAGTCAATACATCTTCTGTTTATGGACATGTGTATGCTGTCTCCCTCTTACAAACTGACATGCCTCTCCTCTTCCTCCTCTGCCTGTAGCTCTGACTACTCCTGGTTCCTTTGTCTCCCTCAAGGGAGGGACAGAGGAGGGACACAAATCCCTCCCCACCCTGTTAATAGAGATACTGCCTTGCTGACGTGAGTCATGAAGGGTTTAAACCGTGCAGTTGAGGGTGAGCTGCATCCAGCCCCCCGCCCTGCACACCTCCCACTACGGATCTCCCTGGTTTCCAGGGAAACAGTGGCCCCAAATGCTGCCTGACTTTCACGTCTGCCTTTCATTTCTCCTTTTTTTTTTTTTTTTTTTTTTTTTTTTTTTTTTTAAAACACACAACTGATTATTTTTTTTCTCCCTTCCCTTCCCCTTTCAGGATCACCACTACAGCCGCTTGCATGATGGACCTGCGGAGGTACCCCCTGGACCAGCAGAACTGCACACTGGAGATCGAGAGCTGTGCGTATGCCTTGTGCCTGCCCTCAGTGCCACCCACCCCGGTCACAGTTTCTCACTCATGGGGTGCCTCACAGGGGTGTTACAGGCCACCCCACCTGGAGGATGTCCCCTCAGGCAGGACCAGGCTCCCTCATCCAAATTTCATCCTGAGGAGACCTTATGGGTGAAATGCCCAGGAAAATGGAGCCCTAGCAGCAGGCTGGGCATTAAAATCACTCTCAGGAGGGTGGTAGAAGCCTCTCTTAGCCCTAAGCAAGCTGTGGGAGCCTGCCCTCACTGGTGGCTGGCCCTGCTCTGTGTGGGAGGTGGGACATGAGCCCTCCCACAGTCTCTCCCTGCCTGGATCTTCCCTTGACTCCTATGGAAAGCCTCTCCCGACCGTGCTGGCGGAGGAGGTCCAGCTCTCCCTCATAAAAATGCACCGCAGTATCCCCGCAGGAGCGGTCCAGAGCAGCAGATCTCACAGTAATAATGATGCAGCTTCAGTGGTGATTATCAGAGAATTGCTTTTTTCATAAAAAAGGTCCCACAGCATCCATAGTCGGAAGGCGCTGTGCCGCCTTACCAGCCCTGCCAGCGCCTGGGAGCCCCCTTCCCGCTCGCTGCTCGGGCTGCTCGGGATGCGCAGCCATCGCATCGCTTGGCGTGGTGGGTAATGGGATGTAAATTAGGTCCTGCTGGAGGCACTAATGACATGTCATTTCTGGCACTCCTTACCATTTTGAGAATAGTTTACAGTACAACCAAGAAAACAGAAGGCAGAGAATTACCCACAGTTCCCCATGTTGCGATTTTGTTCTTAATGGGACATGTCAAGCCAATTTGTTAGTCGAAGCTATGTTTCCTTACAATATTTCTAAGATCCATGCAGAGATGAAGAGATTCAATCGTCTCCTTCCATAGAGCTTTTGTCTTCTACACACTTGCACATTTGAAATCTTCAGGGCTCCATTTTGTTTGCTTCCAAGTCCACACAACTCTGGAATAACAGTCCTTTTATGGCTCGCTTAAAAAACAAAGTATATTTTTTTTAAAAACCCAACCAAACTACAAATGTGGTGGTGCAGGGGTGCTGGCTTTGTAAAGCAACAGCAGGCAGCTGGGGTCCCCCCCATAGCAGCATGAGGCACTTACCTGGAGAAGATAAGCCAGTGCTGGCACTGCCTGTTGATCCCATCCCTCGGTCCCTAAAAACTGCCCTTACCACACATACCCCTGCCTAGCTGTGTGCCGGGATTCAACAAAAACCTGATGAGATGGGCAGCAAACAGACTGTTAATCTGATATTTTAAGGTGCTCTATCAATACTTTATGATATTTCAGGTTGAAATGACTTGTCTTTGTGAAAGTTCTTTTACTTTTTAAAAGTAAAATGGAAATTTGGTTTTCTTTTTAAAGTGAGAAATCAAAGTGAAGCATTTATTTTTAGACTGAACAACCTTTCCCTTTAGAATCACTTTTAAAAATGGCTTCCTGAAAAACATGTTTGATTTCATATTGCATAATGCCATAATAAATAAAAAATATAAAAATTGGTACCCAATACCAGCAGATCATAGAATAAATGGAATAGAGCTGGTTAACTGTGAGATCTCCTAAAATTAGTTACTGTAATTTGACATTTTCATTGCTGATCAGGAAGTAAATTTGAAGTCACTGCTGTTAAATTTGTGGATGATGAAGATAGCAGTCTGCGTGGCTTGCTCGCTGCACATTTGAATACTTCCCAATTTGAATACATCCAGAATGCATTTGAATACAGCTAAATGCGGAGGTCTGTGCCTGGGTGCTGCGAGGCTGAGGGACTCGTACCCGCACGGGTATGGGCATGGCCAGGGGACGTGATGAGGGGCTGGCAGCCCCCAGCACCACTGCTGGAGGCTTCGTAGCAGGGCTGACAACAAGGGCTGGAGTGAGCTCTCGTTATATAAACCAGGGGAGCTGTGAGTCAGAGCAGGGAATCAATTGGCCTCTGAATATGTCACTGGTGAGACCAGGAAAGGGACTCTGTCTATATTTGGGTTCCAAAATTTAGAAAGGAAGTTGAAAAATCTGAAGATGTTGAGAAAAGATGCTAAAAAGTGGTTCAAGGGCTAGAGCAGATGTTTTGCAGTGAGAAACCTCAATAGCTCAATCTGGTTTGTTTACTGCAAAGGAGGTGGAGAGGTGACTTGTTTATAGGCTGGATGCACCTCTGCAGAGGGGGAGCACTGGGTGGAAAGGGCTTGATAACCTCTGAGAAAAATTCAGAACAACCACCAGAGTCTGAAAGTCTGAGCCAGATGAATTCAAATGTAAAATCACATACAATGTTTTTAGCTGCAAGAGTGTTTGAGCCACCGGAGTCCACCACTGGGAGGAATGGGGGACTTGGTTGTTTCTTGCTGCTTTCCACACCAGGTCTCGGTGCTCTGCAGCCAGATGCAAACACTGGTTCTTGTGCACAAAGCTGGGGTGCTTGAGGCAGTGCAACAGCCTGTGACACCGCAGTGTCTGCAGCAGATGAGATGATAACCTAAGGGTCCTGGATCTCTGTGGGCTCGTGGGGGTGGGTGCTTTAATACTCTCTGCCATGGGAGCAGAAGCATGTCAGGGGTGAGGAGGTAGAGCCCTGGCTTAGCTGACTTACATCAGAAGCAGATCTGACATGGCATTTAGAAGATTGTTATTATTTTTTAGCACCCATGAATAAGCGCAGTAATGACTGGGAGCACAGGATGTGGGCTTAAAGACTACACAGTCATCAAATAATTCAGTTTGGGAAGAGACCTCAGGGTGTCTCTAGTCCAGTCCACAGCTCAAAGCAGGGTCAGCTATGAGATCAGACCAGGTTGCCCAACTCTTTGTCCACTTGGGAGCTGCAGGATGACACCACCCTCAAAGGTTCAGCTCTGATCTGGGGTAACCCCTGACCTCTAGGGCTAGGTAGAAGAATTTCTCCTCCATGGTACATTCAACAGCTCTTCATTCCCCTGATCCCTCTAATACACTGGTGCTGGTTTGGTGTCAGCTCTCCCTGGTGGATGTTAGCCTTGCTGGAGATTGCTAGCCACTGCTTCTCTGCTGTGGATAAGGCAGGCTATCGTGCTGCAGTGCAGGCTGTGAATAAAAGCTGTCTGTGGGCACAGGTGAAGTTCATGATCTAAGGAAGCCTTGCACCATGCCATACCCAAGCCTCTGCATATCTTACCGCTTCTTTTCACACAGAGGTGCTCCCATACAGCTCTGCACTTTGCTTAGAATAAGAGGCCACCCCTTGTGCAGCAACAGCCACAGTGCTTCAAAACCCAGCTTGCCACAAGCAGCATTCATTTTCAGGTGGAGATGAATCCTGGCCCATTAGGACAACGGGCAGGGCTGTGAACATGACAGTGATGGGAGGGGACCTGCATGATTTTGTCCCCTGAGCCTCATTTCCCACAAGTCCAGAGCATCTGGGGAGTCTTTCTCCTGGGACTGTGGATCTGGGCTTCTCAGCATTTCCAGCCCATGCAGCCCTGCCTGGCATGTATGGTCTGGGGTTAAAGTAAGAAGCTGTACCCTTGGCTGAATTAACAAACCCATTAACCTGAAATGTAAGGGATGAGTATGTTGCCAGCCTCACTCCCCTTCCTCTCTTCTCCCATTACTGACCTTTTCAGCCAGCACCTGGTAAAAGCATCCCCTGATCTCAGTGACTGTCCACTTCCAGGCTCCAAATTTTGACTGAGACTACTGAGGAGAGAGAGGTGCTCTGATGTTCAAATTTCTTTTCAACTGCTGTTGTAAATATTTCTCTGTCTGGGCATTTTTAATACTTAGATGTTGTTTACCCAGTCCCCACCAGAATGTATTGTGTGGTCTCCCCCTTCTGGCAAAAGGAGGCAGTTTTTAAATAACAAAATGCCGTGTTTGGTGCATTTGACAGAGGCTTCTGATGCACCAGTCCCTGTCATGTCAGCCATGGAGATTATGTAGCGCAAGTCCAGGCTTGGTGGGCCACTTCTCACCTTTTTCTCCTGAATTCTAGCCAACAGTGGGAGTTCTGACCAATTTTTTCCTCCTGGGGACTGTACTGCCAAGCTCTGCTGAAGAAGAAAAGTACGTCAGCAGGGAGGGGCTATGCTTGCTGCCTGATGGTGTGGGCTTTCCTTTGGATCCTCTTCCAGATCACCTTTGTGAAAATGGGGCTGTCATCTGTTCCAGCTTGTCAGCTTAGTTCTCTCTCTGTGCTTCTTCATCACTGCAGATGGTTACACGGTTGATGACATTGTCTTCTTCTGGCAAGGAAATGATTCTGCTGTCACGGGGATGGAGGTGCTAGAGCTGCCCCAGTTCACCATTATCGAGCAGAGGCTGGTCAGCAGGGAAGTGGTCTTCACCACCGGTGAGTCTCTGCTGAAGAGATGCGATGGAATGTGCAAACCTTCTGCTGATCAACATCAGTGTGCTTGTTTCTCTGATTCAGATGCTGAGGCACTAACTTAGGATCTAGGCTTCAACTTTTCCTTTGGAAAAGAGGCATCTTCTGTGCCCACCAAGTTTGCTTTTTTTTTTTTTTTTTTTTTTTTTTATGGGATCATTTTTTTTTTTCTGCTGTTGTTTTTATTTCTTAATCAAAACACCAACTGAGCTCAGAACAGAAACTCTAGAAGGTTCTCAGCCTTTCCCTTATTTTGAGGTGGTTTGCAACTGGCTCTTGAAGCTAATGTAGGTGCAATAGTAAGCAGAAGAATATATCAGCTGAAAAGCAAGTGGTCTATGAAATGATGCAAACCCAATGGCAATAAAAAGCTGTGGAGAGAATACCTTGGATGATTCAGATACTGCCAGTTGGTCAGTTGTAGGGGTTTGGATTTTGGATTTTGGTTGCTGTCTTCGCTTTGATCTGGCATGGAGTTCACTGCCAGAACAGCGTGCCACACACTTGTTAAATAGGACAATTTTTGAAATGCCATGAAATCACAGCCTGAATCTATCAGCAGTGGTGGCAGATGGTGATGTTGTTACAATAGTGCCTCGGGGGCATGCTGGGAGCAGGGTCCCATTGCAATGGCAATCTAGAGACCCACAACAAGAGGCAGTATTCCTCCAAATGAAGTTTGCAGTCTAAATAGGTAAGACCTTCAAAAAGAGGCTTGTGAAATACTGTGTTCAAACTACACAAATGGCACATAATGGTGAAAGAACATAACCTCCTTTTTCCCAGTCTACATCCTTGATCATTAAGGACTGTTGTTTTCTTGTTACTTTAGCTGCCAACCCACGATTACACCCAGTTGCAGGCTGCTGTGTTGCCTAAGGGATGGATGGAGGTGGGAAGGAGGAATGACTTGGACTTTGTTTCACAGCAATGAGAGAGGCCCTGCTTTGTCCCTGTCAAAATGACCCTGCTCCAGTGGGAGGACTGTAAAAGTACTTATTGTTGTCACTATCCCCCTTAGGTTTGCTAAAAGATTGAGAGGAAGTTGTAACAACTTGAAAAAAAAAAAACCCTACAGTTTAACTAACAGTACTCTATTTGCATACTAATTTGCCCACTCTGACCATAACCCATTTTTAGAACAACATGGGAAAAATACAATTCATATCTTCATTGCTGTTTGGAGGAAAAGCTAGCACATGAAATACTGGAAATCATCTCACTGCATCCGGATATAGGGTTAAAGTCTCCTGTGTAAGCCTGTATCAAATTGGCACATACTATAACAGCAGTTTCAGCACGGAACAGATTCTCCCATGATGTCTGACATAATAAAGTAACTTATCTAGAGTTTCCGTTATTCTTAACATTCTGAGCCAAGTGAGCAGACTCTGAAGAGCCCCCTTCCAAAAACTGTTGAGTCTGCAAAACCACACGAGGAAAAAAAAAAGAGATATTTCTCATATTCCCTGTCTCTTGAGAACATTTTCCAAATAAAATTTCAATTCCTAACCTAAGCTCTTACTATAAATACAGCCTTGCCCTCCTCTCAAACTTTGTCTCCCTTTAATATCTTATTGACAGGTTCATATTTACGCTTATCCTTGAGTTTCCGGATTAAGAGGAACATTGGTTACTTCATCCTGCAGACTTACATGCCATCTATTCTCATCACCATCTTGTCCTGGGTCTCCTTCTGGATCAATTATGATGCTTCTGCTGCACGAGTGGCACTGGGTATGTACCTTTTCATTACCCATTGATGAAGGTGGTTTTTTGAGGGACATCATCTAGAACAGCTGTAAGAAAGAAAACACCTCTTCACGAAGTAGCAACTAAACAGGCCACATAGGTCAGTCAAACTTGTCATCCCAAATGAAGGACATTTCTTCTGAGAACAAACTTCAGATTTTCAGCCAGAAGAGATACTTTTTTGGTCAGAAGTAACAGTAAAATACTCACAAATTTGAGTCTGTATTATTCGAATCAGAAGAAATTTTACCATAAATTTCTGTGGGTGCAAGTTTAAACTCCATAACAAAAGCATAAATGGTCACAGCTTCTCAGACCTGAGATGTGCCATGAGCCCACTAGTTCCTTCACTCTGGTTTGTACTTGTTTTCTTAAGAGGAGAAATCTAGGCACCTCTTGGTCAACAGGTGTGCTGTCAACAGGACCAGTTAACTGGATGACAAATGCTGAGGGTGGGTAGCCAAGGAGTAGTGAGAATGGTGAGTGAATGGCTAAAAGATGAAAAAAATAAAGTGACATTACACATTTTCATTATAGTTTAAGCCCCATACAGCTGCATGGCTGAAGACCTTCACAACCTTGGCAAATGTGGGACGGTAGTTAAAGTCCAAATTCTTCTTAAGCACATGCTCCCCTAAATAGGAATGTTTTCCTGTAAGAGAAAAAAATGAAGTCTTTTAAGCAACAGAAGGGAAGTGGGGGTGGATTGCAGATGAGGATTTTGAAGAAGGAACAGGAGAAAGGGGGGATGGCTGGCATATAAGAATGGGGCTGTGTAACATGATAGAAAGTTCAGAGGAAATAAGAGAGCCAAGGAAGGAGAAAGATTTAATCTGTGAGTGAGAAGAGGCTCAGAGGCAATGTAGCACAGGTAGAGGCTGGGTCTTACAGAAAAGGCTGGGGGTTTAAATTACTTGTAGAAGACAGAGTTTGGGAAGGCTCAGCAGAGGGATGGTTTGTACAAACATAAAATAGATGATATGGCTGTGCTTCTTGGAGAGGCTGGAGCAGAGAGACAGGGGGTAACAAGAGGAACATGGTAAATTAAAAAGGTAAGTTTCATTGACAAGAGTATAATCAGGGAGAGAAGAAAAAGAGACCATGGCAGACATTGCTGGCACAGAGAAAGTACAAGCAGAAGGGTGGATGATACCCATACGATGAGATACCCAGCTGTTGAATTTCTGCTGACATCTGGATTCAAAGGAGAAGACAGAAGAAAAATATTGTAGATCAGAATTGGAACAGCTTTCCCTAAACTATTCCTGACAGCTCTCTATCTAACTGTCCTTAAGAAGCTCCAAAGAAGGAGACTCCAACAGCCTCCTCTGAGCACTTTATCTCCAGATTTACCTGCTCATACAGTCAAAAAGCTCTCTTTGCCTCTGTCCTAAGTCTCCGTAACAATCTGTCCAGTTCTTAGTGGAGATGTGGAGAACATTCTATTCCCCCTTTCTTTGCCCCAGATTTCTGGATATTTTGACTAGTGTCTAAATATAGACAATATAATACATTGTATGGATATAAATATTCTCCCTTCTGTTTACTTTTCTGTGAACTGAAGGCTATTAGTTCTTTAAATCTTTTATCAGGAATGACACTCAAGACATGATGAGGGTGAAGGGGAAACAGGACAAGCAGAGGTCCAGGATGAACAGAGAGGTTTGAGAACCATCACTGTAGAGGTAGGGCTGAAACCAGAGAGCAAATTAAGGTCATGGAGACTAAAAAGAGCTGCCATCAGAGAGAAGAGGAGGAAGGACATTAGAAGAAAAGGAGATTAGCAAGGTAGTAAAAAAAGCAGGATGGCTGAGCTAGAGAAGTGGGAGAAAAAGACTAGGTTGAAAAGGAAAAGTTGCTGTCCCAAAAGAAACATGAGAGCTCATTGCCATCTTTCTGAAGCTGGCAGAAGACTGTCAAAGGACAGATCTGAGGCCACTCTGACAGTACAGAGAAGGGAAGAGTCTGAGATGAAACTGAAGAAGAGGACTGAAGCTGTGGGAGTAATTGTTGTGCACCAGGATCCTGGAGGCTGAGTAGATGGGGAAGAAATTGTTCAATGAGAACAAGAAATGTTTATTTAAGATGCAGGAAATATAAATAGGCCTAAAAAGAAGAGCATGAGAACCATGGAAGAAGTGTGTACAGATGATAATTGAAGTAGTGAGTGGTGAAGGTGGGAAGAGGAAGGTAAGAATTGATGGGGTCAAGGAGTAGACAGAAGCCTATGAGGCAGGCTAAAAAAAAAAAAAAAAAAAAAAAGGAGCACCATGAAGAGGGAATCATGGAGAATGGTTTGGATTGGAAGGGACCTTAAATATCATCCAGTCCCACTACCCTGCCATGTGCAGGAACACCTTCCACTAGCCCAGGTTGCCCAAAGCCCCGTCCAACCTGGCCTTGAACCCTTCCAGGGAGGGGGCAGCCACAGCTTCTCTGGGCAGCCTGTGCCAGGGCCTCACCACCCTCACAGGGAAGAATTTCTTCCTTATCTTCTGATCTAAATCTCCCCTCTTTTAATTTAAAACTGTTACCCCTTGTCCTATCACTATACTCCCTCATCAATAGTCACTCCCCACCTTTCCTGTAGGACCCCTTTAGGTACTGAGAGGCCACTCTAAGCTCTCCCCGGAGCCTTCTCTTCTCCAGCTGAACCCCCCAACTCTCTCAGCCTGTCCTCACAGCGGGGTGCTCCAGCCCCCTGAGCATCTTTGTGGCCTCCTCTGGACTCACTCCAACAGGTCCATGCCCTTCTGATGTTGGTGCCTCCAGAGCTGGACACAGCACTGCAGGGGAGCTGGACACAACACACATGGGAGCAGAGCAGAGGGGGAGAATCCCCTCCCTGTACCTGCTGCCCACACTGCTCTGGGTGCAGCCCAGGATATGAGGTTTGCACAAACCTCTTTACTCTTTCTCCTATTCATGGCATTGGAAAGACACAGCAGATTATAAATTCATGTCAAGGATACTGAGGCATTCAGTAGTGCACAGGGAAGCCTGATGAGTTCATGAAGTGGAAAAAGAGAGAAGAAGAGGTTGAGAGACTGAGAGCAAAACTGAATGTTTCCTACCACACTGAGGGAAGGAAGGACAATCAGGGAGGACTTAAAGAACCAAGGTCCAGAGGATGTTGATCCCCATCGTCCTGATGATACTTTGACATTTTCTCCCACTGTTGGGAGCTGGTTTATTTTCTGCAGCAATTTGTAATGGGCAGCTGGGCTTAGAATAATGACAATTTTTTTTCCCAGCTGCACTGCTCCCATCCCTCTTGAGGTTGTCTAGCTGGGAGGAGGGATGGGGAAGCTGAGAGTGGTGTTTCAGTAAACCATCCCACCTTGGTAACAGAGCACCTACCCTCTCCTTACAGGGGTCACCACGGTGCTTACAATGACTACCATCAACACCCATCTGCGGGAGACTCTTCCCAAGATCCCTTATGTCAAGGCTATTGATGTTTATCTCATGGGCTGCTTCGTCTTCGTGTTCCTGGCGCTCCTGGAGTATGCTTTTGTCAACTACATATTCTTCGGGCGAGGCCCCCGGCAGCAAAAGAAACAGAGTGAACGGATCAGCAAGGCCAACAATGAGCGCCACCGTTATGAGGAGAAGAGGGTGAGAGAGCAGGTTTGTCCCCTTCTTTCATTGTGGCAGGAGAATTCAAACTCTCCACTGTTCATTCAGTCCTGGGTGAGCTGTGGAGCAGCCTTTCTCCTCAACACCAGAGATGAACTCCAGTTCTTCTGTCTGGTGATTACTGGGAATTTTTTCTTCTTCCTCAGTGTGTCATCATCCTCAAGCCAGTCTCGTCAGGACCATCCTCTTGCAGAGGGTACGTGTACCCAAAAGTACCCCTGTGGCTTTTGGTCCTACTGTGTTGCAGAATCATGCTACCTCACTCAAAAATGTGCTGCAAGCACATGTGGTTAGTCCTTCAACCCCGGCATCAGTGGACAACATATTCAAATGCAGAAGTCCAGGTTCAGAGCTCACAAATGACCACAAATCAGTGGTATTGTTACACAGAAAACAGTTCAAAATCGTCCCTGATAGTGTGGCCCTGTGTACATTGTGCATGGGACATCCCCACTACCTTTCTCTCTGTCTTCCCTGTTCTAGGTTGACCCTTACGGTAACATCCTCCTCAGCACTCTGGAGATGAACAACGAGTTGCTGGCCACGGACATGATGAGCAGCGTTGGCGACTCTCGAAACTCTGTCATGTCCTTTGAAGGCTCAGGAATCCAGTTCCGCAAGCAGCTGGCCTCTCGGGATGGATTTGGTCACCACCCAACCCTGGACCGCCACGTCCCGCTGACCCACCATGCTGCAGCCCGCAACCGTGCCAACTGCCGTCTCCGCCGGCGGTCATCTAAGCTGAAGCTCAAAATCCCAGACCTGACAGACGTCAGCACCATTGACAAGTGGTCACGAATCATTTTTCCAATCACCTTTGGATTCTTCAACCTTGTTTACTGGTTGTACTATGTAAATTGATGCCTGCAGCCTCCGAGAGAGATAGGGACAGACACTCAGACAATGACAACACAGGAGTGTTGTGGTCTTTTGGGTTTGGGTTTTACTCTTTACTATCATTATCATTTATTCCTTTGATTCATTAGATTTATTCTAAGCTTACTCTTCTCTTTTCAGCACATGTAGAACCACAGAGTGTGGGGTGGGGTAAGGGAGAGAGGGTATATGGGAGGGGGTTTGGTTTCAGGGAGGGATGTGTTTGTCTTGATTTTGGTTTCCTGCTGAAGGACTTAAACCATTGTAAAAAAAACCAAAAACCACCAAAAACAGAATGAAAAAAAAAAAAAAAAGAAAAAATTACAGAAAAAAAGAAAAAAAACACACAAAAAACCCCAAAAAACAAGAAAAGTTTAAAAAAAGGGGGGGAGGGAGATTTAAAGAAATTGAGTCAAAAACTGGTGGGGGCGATAGGTTATCTTTGGCTGTGCTCACTAATGCGCTATCCTCACTTTCATTTCACTATTGAATTTCATCTTTCTCTTCTCAGTATTATTATATTTTTTTAATCTTTCTTCTGTCACTGCTCTTAACCCCTTCATGTTTATTCTTTCATGGATTCATGAGATGGTGGGTTTCATTCTCATGCTATGAGATTTCTCTTTTCTTTTTCTCCCTCTCTCTTGCTTACAAGCCTAAAAGAATCTTTTAAACTAACAAATAAAAATAATATTTATTTTGGAAGAGCTGGGAAAGGGGGAGAACAAGGCAATTATTTGGGAGGGAAGGGGCAATGTGGGGTTATGGGAGGGGGGAAGGAGGGAGCTTATCAAAAACAAAGGCACATTTGCAAGTTGCCTTTTTCCACCTTCAGGAGTTTGCAAGCTGTTTTTCCTGTATGAATGTGTGCGTGTGTGCGCAACGCATCTGTGTGTGTGTATGTGCGCATGTATGTAGATACGGATGTGTGTGTGCAAGCATGTTTTCTGGGGAGGGGAGCTGGGGAGGGGGGTTTTGTAACGTCTTTTGTAGAAAGAGAACACAGATGACATTTAACCGGCAGTGTTTTGGAGGGAATAGCAGGGTTTTGTTTGCTCATTGCAACTTTGCGAGGTTGGAGGTCAGAGTCCCAGCTTGTATTATAGAGACAGAGCTGGGCAGGTAGATTGTGCAAATATATACTTGCTGAGGAAAGAAGGCTTTGAGGATCAGAAATGGGACAGTGCTGCTGCTCACCGCTGGCATCTGATCTCTAGTAGACTAAGCTGATTAAGCCCTGAAAGGAGGGGTTGTTCCTAATCATTCCCACCCTGCATCGTTCTTACTGAGTTTGGGGAGAAAAGCAGTTGCGGGACTCTAAAAACTCAACTCTTGCCCCCCTCTACACATTCCTTGTGTCAGACAAGGGACTTCACACTCCATCCCACTGAGTGACCATAGGCTACAGCAAGGTGCAGGAAAGGGTAAATGTAATTTTTGTTGTACTTCAGAATAAAAAAAAATCCAGAATTGATAACTATCCCCTTTCCTAAGAAGTTCAGAAGCAAATGGTGGGCTGGCACCCTCTGATCTGTACTGCTTCTATCAGGCCTTGCTTTATGTCTGTTAATACATGCAGAGTGTAAAGAAAAGTACCCTGTGTCCCTTCTTGTAGAAGATGTAACTAAGGTTGCAGTAGAGTTCCATGGAGCATCATCCCACTGGAAGACAATGGTCTTCAAAGTCTGGAAGGTTGCAGTGAAAATGCTGACCTTGTCAGTGCTTGTGGAAGCCCCTAAGTCTGTAGCAGCTTCCATCCACAGGCGCTCTTGTAAAGGTACAGAAGGGTAACTTGGCCTTGGACAGCAAGGTCAACTTTTTCCAAAGGATCCAGTGACTTTCAGGAAAATCACTGAATTATTGGCCACTTTGGCAATCACTGATGATTGATAATCTCCCTTTAATATTAATAAAAGCCATGAAAATGATAAATTCACAAGTGCAAAACTTTAACCCTAGGGTCATTCTGCCATTCCTGGAGTAACGATGAGAACCTTGCTCTTACCTGATGGAGGCTTTTATATGCCAGACACACACACACACACACACACACACGCACCTCCTTGAATCAAACCATCCCTTTATTTTCCTGCTATCATTCTCTTCCTTTTTCCTTGATTCCTATTATTTGGGAGAGCAGAGTAATCCTCTGAGACCAGGGAAACTCCTGCTTTTCATATGACAGATGCATCTAATGCACATCTTTTCATTCGTTAATTTATGTCTGTACAGTGCTATGAAAATGTGAATCACTATAGGTATGAGCTAGTAACAGTGAAGTCATGGGAAGTTTTGCCTTGACTTGAATGAAGCAGGATCAGGGCTCATCAGATAATAAGTATTGTTATTTTTATATCAGTAATGTGTCTTAAGCATTTTCTGCTAACAGAATCCTACGCATAAATGTAGAGCATCCATCCTTCTCAATCACCCCCGATCTCTGTCTCCCTCTCTCATGTTCATGCATGCACACGTTTGGTCCAGGCCTCCCTGGACTCACCAAGGTTTTAGCACAATTGTTAAATCAGACTTAGATTCCCAGCTGCCCTGCAGAACAGTCTCTTGCTGGTTCCACATACAAGAGCGATGCTGTTGAAAATGGGTTTTCCCAGTATTATTGCAGTTTATGGTCTAGATGGGTCTGTATAGGAATATGAGTCTGAAGAGTGAATGGAGCCGGATGATAGGGCTTGACCTGGACTGGATACGTTTGGCCAGTGGAGAAAGTTACACTTTCTACTGGGATTCTATTTGGAAATGGCTTTTAAACGTTTTAATGGAAGTCATAAAGTTGTGTTTTATGGCATCAGCAATATAATGTAGGCGATTATATGCATGTCACATGACTGCAGTTCCCAGATAGAGGCTGCCTATCAGCAGGTTAAGTTTTTAAGGGGAGTCTAATCAGCCGATTGATGATTAAATAAAATATCTAAACACTTATCCTTTACATATGTGATTGCAATATAAAGGGTGGTCAGAACTATAGAAGGGAAAAAAAGAGGCAGCTATAAGAAGCCTATCAGGATTGGAGGGAGAACAGACATCTGTGTGGTAGGAAATTAGGAAGCTGAGGGGGTTACTCAAGAACTCCAGTAATTTGATAGCTATAGTAAAAGCCTGACAAATGTATGGTAGGAGTTAGGCACCTGAGAGCTCTCTTGGCTGGTCCAAAAGACTGGCGGGGACAGCAGCACACAGACGATACAAAACCCACCCATACTCTTTGCTGCTCGGGAGCTGAGCCCCACATGGAGGGGGGTCCTGGCCCATCCCATCCAGCTCCCTGCAGGTACAGCGCAGGGCCTCCAGCAGCTGGAGAACAGGCACAGGGGGTGCTGTGTTTAATATTTTAGGCTTCAATTAGAGTTTTAATTGAGAATTTCATAGTGACAATCCAAAAGCTTTCCAGGGAAAATGAAATGCTCAGCTGATTTTTTCACCTGCTGGGACTGGGAGCCAGACTCCTTTACTATTGCCTTGGTTCTCTGTTGGCTGGGTTCTCTTTCTTGTCAGGAGTCATCCTAGTTTCTCTCTTTGAATGTTTCTGACCTGGTATTACTAGGTCAGTTTTACTTCATAGAGTCAGTATATCCAGACATCTGGACTATTTGGTCCTACACAATAATCTTTGCCAAAGAGTGTGCAGTCAAGACTTTTCACAGTTCAGGAACTGCCTTAGAATTTCTGGTGACAGGGCAGAATGCTGGAGAACAACTGAGTGTCCTGTGAGCCGGACAAGTAATAGAAAATGTGTTCCCATACAGGGGTAAGGGAAGAATGCTAAAGACCTTTAGAAATGCCCTCCTCCAGAACCAAGGTGGCACCTCCATTTTCCCCCTCCATAGCTGTTTGCATCCACCCCTAAGAAAGGCAACAAACCCATGTTGTGTTTTGAGGTCCAGTGATCCAGAAAGGAGATAGTGGAGAAAAAAAAAGACATTTTAATCATACTCAAGGCCCAGAGGTTTCAAGCCATTACAAGCATGAGGAAAGGAAAGGCATGAACCTCTCATGCAGTGGGTACGAATCTCGTGTTATTGGAAAGGTGGAGAGGATTTCCACACTGCAGCTTGTGTGCCTGCTGCTGTCCACCTTTCACAAAGGGAGAGCAGTGGGGAAAGGAGAAGGAAAGAGTGTAAGTGGAGTTCAAAAGTGGAGCTTCTTCACTTTCACTTCAGTGGTCCAGGGGGGCAATTCTGATCGGGACTTGTTTGCAGCTTGGGGCAGGATTGCTTCTTGCTGGGTCATGTTTTTTAGCAGAGACTCTAACACGAGCATGAGAGATGCTCCAGGCTGCCTGAGGGATCTGGACTGGGGGAGATTGTTTTGCACCTTTCCCATGCATAACAGCCTAAGGCAGGTATGTGGAGGAGAAGAAGGAGGAGGAGAAATAGAAATGAAATCTCTCTCAGGATATACATGGCCAATGCAACTCTATCGCTTCATTTTCTGATACTGTATAGTGCTGTCACTCAGGGACCTTCAGGAACTAGGACCTTGGGACTGTAATCCTACCTGTCCCCCTCCTATGCCCGCTTCACCTTGAGTATCAAGAATTGAAAAGAGAATGAGAGAAAGAGCAAAAGAGGAAAATAAGAGCCCTGGTAGCAAACCCCTGCTATTCCATGGGTGAAAGCAAAGCATTGGTTACTAAGGTAAAAGGAAAATGTGTACGTTTATATTCATGTCTTCAAGCATAAACCAGCCCGTAGTGTATATAGGATAAGTTCACAGTGCATGAAACAAACAGGACTGTAGGTCTTAACTGGCATCCAGCTTTCTTGCATGCACATCTGACACCACGCCAGCAGCTTATGTCTTGCAAATAAGTAGGGAACCTGCCAAGGCTTGACACTTCCTCTGTCCAATGGACAGCACATCCACTTCCCAGAAACAGAGCCATGTGGGAACTGATCCGGCCAGTCTGTTTGACCAGATCTGCTCCAGAGGCTCTGGCAGGAGGAGATAAGGGGCGGTGGAGAGAGCTGGTTTTGTTTTCTTTTTTGTGGGGAAGAGGAAGGGGTTTTATATCCTGAGCTTCTATCAGGCAGAAGAGAAGCCTCTGGAGCTGCAGACTAAAAGACAGTGGCTTTAGGGAAGATGGAAGAAATCCTAGTGTAGAGGATGCGATGAGGAAGAGGTTGTTGGTGGGAGAGAGCTGTAACTCCAGAAGCAGAGCAAATAGGAGAGAGGTAGTGAAAATATATGTGCAATACAATAGGTTTGAAGGGACTAGAGCACTGAAAACTGGGGACCTCCCTGAGTCCAGACAGGCTGGGCCACTGCGTCCAGA